CCCACCTACTTTCAATACGGTCCTCTTGGATTGCCCTGGTTCTTCGGTTCAAATGTGTGTGCAAGTGCCTCCGGGTATGCCCATTCCACAGCTGTATGATGCGATTGGCAGAACAAGTGGCGCGCCCCAAACCCAGCTGCCGACCTGTGTGCCGTGGGATACTGAGTCAGAGGCCCTCCACCTGCCGGTGGCCTCGCTACCCCAGCTTAACTGCGGCGGCTTCATTTCTGGTGCCGGCTCCCAAAAGGGGTGGTGTGTGGTGTTGACACAGGCTGCCTGCTACATCCTTGATGGCGACTCGCGCCTGGTCTCAGCTCCTCAGGGTCTTCGATGACATGTATGATGGCCCATGTGACTTGGGGGTGTATGCGACTACTGGCCAGCGCCTGAATGACACCTCAGGTTTTGGTACGTGCATTGTCGCCTTGCCAGAAGATGAGGATCTTGTCATTAGTGGTTTGCAGCCGCTTGTTTCGCATATTGGGGCGCTCTGTATCCGACGCCACGGCAGCCTCCTCACACTTCGCGGTGAGGATATTGCTGCGTGTGACCTGCTGCTAGGGGTGCCCTTCCACCTCATTGACGCTCTTGGCTGGGCCTCTGTTGTTGAAGTCTCCGCGGCCTCTGCTCATGGTCAGTTCTGCGTTGCCACCTGGCCTCAGCTGCACCGGCCCCACATGCCAGCGGACCTCATGCATGACCAGTGGCGCCTATGGCTGATGACGGCGTTTCTTGAAAAGGCCACCACGGAGTGTCCGGCCCAAGAAGGCCTCTTGGTCGAAGTTCAGCTTGTTGCCAAGGTGTTGTGGACGGGCAAGCTATCAGGCTCCCTCCAACTTGAGTCAATCTCGCATTGGTGGCAGCAAGCCTCTGATGTTTGCGGATTATCCTCTGCACACCGCGTCTTTTCAGGGCCCTTCCCGCAAGTGCCCGACAGCTGCCTTCAATCAGTTGCCGAGCAGACTGGCACTAAGGTTTTGCGCAAATCAGGTGCCCTTTTGGTCACGATCCACCCTTCCTTTTCAGGAGGCGGCGTCAAGGAGGAAAACAGTCTGTTGGCAAAAACAAAGATCGCAGCTCTGTTCCTCGACCGAGGGATTGGACTTCCAGAGACGACTCTGCTTGTTGACAGCCTCGTGCCAAAGCTTGGCACGGCAGCATGCCTTAAAGCGCTTTCCGCCGGCGACACTGCTACACAGTGGCAGCAGCTGCAAGATGCGGCCAGCTCAGTTGGAGTTGTCCTTCCTGCAGGGGACAACCGTACAGAAAGGGCCGCCAAACGATTGCAACGAGCTGTTCGCCGTCGCCGCCTTGAGGGCCCCTCTCGTGTCAAAGCAGGCGACTTCAGGTTGGAAGCAGGCTCATGGGTTGGCATTGATCATCAACCGGTGCCCATCCTCGACAGTGTGTCCCACGACTGTACAGGGGCTCTCCTTCTTGATGCCGCCGAGGCCACGGCCATTGACCTGGATTTGCTCCGCAATATCGGCTCGGAAGCATTGTGCGTGGTTATACCCGGCCATGAATGTCCCGACCCTGACTCATGTGATGGTCGGGTCAGCGCCCCGGTCGCTCACCGTGAGAGTGGCCACCACCACCTCATTGCTGCTTGTTATCACAACCTCGGTGATACCAACATCCGCCCGCATGTTGCCCATGGATCTGATGTCACCATACAGGGCAACACTTGCTGTGCATTCACCATGCACCAATGCGATTTCCCGGAGCCAGAGTGGCGAGACATCACCAAAGCCCCCGTCAGAGCGGCAAATGAGGCTTTTCAGGCCCGAGGTGTCCGCAATGCCATACATGGACCGTGGGGTCGTGCCTTCAAGGCCGCCGGCCGCCCGAGCCAACCGCAGCACTGCGACCAGTGCTCTTTTCTTGCAAAGGTGCCTGACCCGCTGCTGAAAGGCCTCATGCAGCAAAGTGGTTTTAACAACGTGTTTGTTGTCCCACGGACGTGGGATCGGCAACTTTTGCCGGGCTGGGCCGTCATTTGGGTGCCGGGGCCCCGCCCTGATGTTGAGAAGCAGGTTAGCCTCCTTGCTGAGCAGCATGGCTTGGTTAAAGCTCGTAGTCGCTTCGGTGTTCGGGTGCCCGCGACAGCCTTTGACCGCCTCTACAGACAGCTGCGCCCCGGACAGGATGTCCCTGTTACGGTCCAGGTTAAGAGCATGTACAAGGCTGGTCCTTTCCCTGCCAGTGCAGCCGCCTCAGATGTTGCCGAATGGGCCAGACAGCTCCCTTGGGCGGTCCGTGTCATGAAAACACTTGGCCCGGAGTTTTGGTTGTTAGGCGCCGCGACGGGGCCCCCGTCTTTCACTGCCCATTTCAATCAGACACCGCTCCTGATTACCGAGGTCAAAAGCCGTGCCGTGCAACCACCTGTGATACAAGCAGGGGGTCCACCCCCCCGACCCGCTGACACCCCGTCCTTCGGGGCATCAGGTGCCGACCCCTGGTTGGAGCAGGACCCGTGGAGTCAGTACAGGGCCAATCGAGAAGGGATTGCCGCCCCGCGCCCTGCGCGCACAACCGCTGCGCCGAAACCCGCGGATGACCAACTTGCGCATCGGGTGCATACCACCGAGGCCAGGCTTGCGGAGCTGGAGCAAAGCATCAGTGATCTTCGTGAAGGACAGGCCTCCGCGGCTAAAGAGCGCCATCAGGACCGCCAGCAGGCCGCGCAGGATGTGCAAATGGTCCGAACGGAGCTCCAGAGCTTAGGTGCCGGCCTGCAGCAGCAATTCCAGCAAAACCTTGATGGACTTCGCCAGGCCCAGCTCCAGCAGGAGCAACAGATGTCGGCAGGCATGGCTGAGCTCAAGAGCCTAATCCTGGCCTGCAACGATGGTAACAAACAGCGCAGGATTGATAGCGAGCTGTGACTGCTGACTGCTGCTCATCTCCTGCTGAGCATTTCAAGTTTTTTGAAGTTGGGTGTGAAGCCTGAGCATTTCTTTGGCTCGGCTGGGTTTCTTTTCGCCGGCGAGGATGTTTTCTCGTGCAGGGCGGTCCATGGGACTTGCCGGGGAGACGGTTTAGTCTGCAGGTACCCAGGTGACTTCTGTCTGCCCCATCCGCCTCTCCGAAGGATGCGGTCGGACACTCCTTGTCTTTTCTGCCACTCTGCAGGCCCCTGCGCCACCACGGGGATCGATGGCCTTCGGCTTGCGTCGTTCAGTCAGTGTTCCACTTTATCTGTGCTTTTCGGAGACCCCTCTGACCTTCAGCGCCTCCCGTGCCCACGGGTACAAGACAATACTGCGCCCCAGGATTCAATTCGTTTTCTGCAAACCATACTTGCGCCAATAGAGTGCAAACCATGTGATTGGGTGCCTGTTGCACCGGCCGCCCAGCGGAGCTCACGATGGCCACGCTTGGTGCAGGTTGCTTACGTTCCTAGATTTGGGCCCCGCAAATGGGTGCAGGTTGCTTACGCTCCTAGATTTGGGCCCCGCAAACAGGTGCAGGTTGCTTACGCTCCTAGATTTGGGCCCGCAAAGTGGGGCAGGATTCGTTTCCTGCACCTCCTCTTTGCGCCAATAGAGCGTCAACGATACCGTTTTCCAAGCATTCCACACTGGAGCTTACGCCAGTGCGCTTTCCCAGCCTATTTCGGTTCTCATCCGAAGACTGCCGTTGCCCCTGCCAAGCAGTATGGATTTACTCCAGGTGCCGACAGGTGCTGCTTCCCTAGAATTCGTTTTGTCACCTTTGCTGCACATACCCTGCCTGCCCGTGTCTCCCAGTCTCTGGAGCTGGGGCCTCATGCAATCGACTCTTTGCCTCTGCGCACCGCTCGTCAGCACCACTGTATGGAGCCCAAGACATTCTGCGTGAATTGTGCCCACCACAAAGGCCCTTACAACGCTGTCCGCATTGGTGAGGCGGGTAACCGGGTCCACAGGCGAACCTTGCAGCTTACTTTGGCAACCAACGGCCCAAGGTCGCCCCTGCATCTCCTCCTGCTACCGAGGCTGCAGATCAATGTGTTTTCGCGGTGGTTAACCCTACCAGCGTGTTGCATAAGGCCCTCGCCTTTCGGGCCATCGGGGCCGACGTCCTCATGATGGCCGAGACTTCTGCTGTTGCCCAGGCACAAAAACTCACCCGGAATGCGATGCGCAAGGATGGGTTTAAGCTTCTCTGTGGGGCCAGGCAGTCCCGTGCCACAGCAGAGAGAGTTGCGCCAAGGGCACCCTAAGAGGCCTGGCT